TGACATGTTCGTAAATTTTAAAATTTTATAAGGGTGTTTTTGTCATAAAAAGTAGTTTAGTGTCAATACATTATAATCCACAAATCATAAGAATCTAAATGGTTATTTCCAAATAATACTTTTTATGCACATAACCTATACCGCAAGTAAAATTTGCCCCTACTTTTATTTCAGTAGGTGAAAAACTATAGCAAAGAAGTTTTTCACTACCCATTCACTTTTCTTTTCCCTCGAGTCTGGAAAGAACACTCTTTTACCATTATAAATCTCTTACATAATTCAGGATACATTATCACTTGTCCCTTTATTACATTGGGAATAGCTTAACACAAAAACAGCACAAGCAATGTTAAAGCACATCCGAATACTTGCGCTATTCCATCAGAGAGCGAGAGAATAAAATTTCTTTTATTCACGCGAGCAGCAATTTTCATAGGGTAAATCCAATCTATACATGCAATGGCAGCATCAATTTCCATCTGAACTCTTACCTCCATACAGATTTCCGCCAATTTTCACGGTCTCCTCCAGTACGAACAACAAAAAGGTAACATGGACAAAATCAATTGCCAGCACTATCTCCCCATACACCGTCCCAAGCACCACCACTTGGAGCAGCATTGGGTCCTTCAATGTAGTTTTGGTTCCCATGGGGATTGTGCGAGCCAGGGGCTAAATTAGATCCGGGTGGCTGAACCTTTTTAGGCTTTGTTCTAATTCCCAGCAGTCTCAACACAAATCTAGCAAGCTCTCCATATAGTAATCCCGATCGATCCAACAGCTGCACATGATAACTCCATGAGTTATTTAATTAAACATACCTATCATATTATAACGACCAGACTCAACAATTTCATCTTGCAAATAATCAAATGGGGACACAAGGAAATTAAAGCACCTGAAGAAGAGCAGTAATGAACATGTGGAATGCCTGTGTATTCTGGTCTATCAGTATTGCAACCCGGCCAAAGAAGGTTACCACACCTTCCAACTGCAATCATTGTAGAAAAAAAATATATATATGTATATATATACATTATGGCTAAGAGAAATGGCATCAGTTCCACAAGTTTGTTAGCTGATGGTTGTAGTACACCTTCAGGGAAGAATCTATCTTAAAAGAGGTATTTTGACAATAATTCTCAAACAATCAATCATATTCCTTCTACCCAAATGATAAATATGACTAAATAAAATAGAATAAAGATTGCCCAAAGGTATATTGGTTGATAATAGCCCAAATTAGTGGATAAATTAATGCAAATGATGAGTATTCCTTGGAATTATCTATCACATGCACAACAAATACCATTAAATTAAAACATAATTCTGCAAAAGAAGATCCCTGCAGGCTCAATTTCTCCCTGTATTCCAGTCAGCCAATTTCCTATCAGTGCTGTAATTTTGATTTCGAATTGAATTCTTCATTTAATTGAATTTAATTAATTGATTCCTTAACCCAGTGAGTTTAGCAAGTGCTAAGTACATATAAATCCCATGGGATTTCATTATATTTTCTTAAAATTTTCTGGTTTAGCAGAAATTGAAGAACATAAAAGATACATTACTAGAAAACAAAGAGATTTTTTTTTTAAAATTTTTTTTATAACTAGCGCATATGCTAAACATCAACTACACATTACATTAATTAAATATATTCTTAATCAAAATTATAAAATCAATTGAACCAGTGAGGAGAGCAGAGGAGAAGACATTTGAGGAGACCAGAGAAAAGCAGAGGAAAACTATACATGGATGCCGGAAGGAGAACTGGTGATGAAGTTGAAGCCGTTCCTGCTACAGACAATCTGTGAGGGTAATGCTTATATTTAGCTTATATTTCATAAAAGGACCTAGCTTATATTTAGCTAAATTTTAATAGGAAAAGGAAAAGGAAAAGGTGAGGGAAAAGCTTCGGACATAAGCTAGGTAAGGGGTAGGGATAGGGATAGCACAAACACTGACCCAGTGTTTTTTAATAGCGCAGGGGCAGGTTAGAGGGTGGAATTGGAGAACCCAATTAGGTTCAAGATGGTGATGGAGAAGGGTAATCCAACCCATCAGACCTGAATATGTATCGCATCACGACAAAAAGATACCTAATTATTTTAATACACTAGTGGAAAGAAAACTAATCTATAACTATATCATCACTGGCATCAGATTTATCAAACGTGATCAACCATTTTTTTTAACCAGTCTGCCCCACTTATCCGGTCATGTGACAGGTCTGGCCTAACCTGAGTCAACAGATCAGTAAACTTGGAACAACTAGAGGGAAACATGCCGTAAGTCTGCCCTTTACACTGTTGTGCATTTTCTCCTCTTTATTCAATTATTCCCAATATTTGTCAATTATTCTCATAATTTCCCACCCTTTATGCAATTACCCCGGTGCAATGGCCTCCACCCACATCCCCTTGGTTCAAGCTTTTTCATAAGAGATTATTACGAGAATAATTGCATAGAGGCTCAGTATGTACACAAATTAACTTTCCAAGAATGGTCAACAAGTAAAGCACCATCCCAGTAATTTCACAAAATAGCATAGTCAAAAGAGACCTAAAGGCATGTGGATCAAAACATCAAGAATAAGAGACTGTGTCTCCTTGTCTTCTGCAATCAGCTCAAATGTTTGATTCCAAATGGGGTTCAGGTCATTGTCAATGACCTTTGTTTTAACCTTGAACAATGGTCGAATGTACACAACAACATAAGGATCAGATTTTCCAATCATTTCCATGTTCTTAAGATCATTTGCCTTCACTACTGTCACCGTAAGCTTTCCCTGTGGTCTAAGCTCTAGTTCACTGCATAAAAGGCACAAAGAAGTGTTAACTCCAACTTGCCATATAAAATAAAATAAAGCAAGAAAAAAGAAAAAAAGAAAAGAAAAAGTGTTATACTATCAATTCATGTGATGAACAAAACATCTAAAAATGAAAAAAATACTTGAACCTGACGATGAAAAAAGTGTGTCAATCACGATATACCATAAACAATGCAAATAAATCTTGTTCTTATGGTGCAAATCATTAGCCAAGTACAACTAAGAACCCTTCTTAATTAAAATATATATATGTGTGTGTGATTACCTTGTATCTACAGCTATACCACCTATAGGCACAACAATCCTGTGAGGCCATTGAATAAGAAATCTCATACCTGAAACATATGTTATTGAATAAGAAATTTCGAAATCCAGTATGAAGAGCGAGGAAGATAGTGAGTTGTTTGAGACCAGATCTGATGGAACAATAGAGGGAGAGAGAGAAAGAGAGAGAGAGAGGACGAGACCTGAGGGGCGGTAGCAACGGGAGGACCAGACCTTAGGAGGATTACCAGAAACCCAGTATTCATGATCTTGTCTCCTCCTCTTGCTTCGACTCGACTGGTCACGGTCTCGATCCCTGTCTCGATCCCGATCCATAATCTCGATCCTTTTTCACTCCTCAGTCTCGTAACCTCGCGTTCGTGCAACTCAACCGGTCCATCTTCCTCTGCAAAATCATCAGAATCAGAATTAAAATCAAGAAAAACAAAAAATCATCTGGAAATTTCAACCAAATCGATTCCAGAATCGATGGATTTAGAATTAAATCTGACCAAGTAATCGTAATCGAACTGGTGAATCTCTCAAGAAGCATGAGAGAGACGGAGGAAACCCTAGATCTAGGACGGAGAGAGCAAACGATAGAGAGAGAATGATAGAGACGGAAAGAGAAATGGGGGGACGGAGCACTGTTACAAAGTGAAACGCGTGTTTAACGGGTGTATTTTAATTTAACGCGTGTGTTTAACGCGTCTTTCACAACGTTTGTCCAAGAAACGTTGTCTAAGAAACGTTGTTATAGCCAGCTTTTCTTGTAGTGAAAGTTTACTATGATTCAAAGTAAAATTTTACTCTGAAATTTTACTCTGATTAAAAACATGTTGATTTGCTTAAAAATATAACATTTTACTGTGAATCATAATAAAGTTTACTCTAAATCAGAGTAAAGTTTACTATAATTCAAAGTAAAATTTTACTCTGAAATACAGTGTGAAGATGGCTTAATAGGAGAGCTGATAGATATGGAGGTAATATAGTAAAAGAAACATGCTTTAAAATATTAGAGGGTTTTGAAAGTACCTATATAATTCTTGTCATTTTGAAAGATATATTAGACAGTAAGGGGTCTATCACCAAATCTCCTATTTTATTTAAGGTTATTATTATAATAAAAAAAAAGGCATAAAATAGGGGGTCCAAAATAATAAATAAGGTGCTAAAGCTAATAGCAGCACTCTAAAAGAAATAAGAGTTCGAAATTATTAATTAGGGTGCTAATAGTAACACTATTTTGTAATATAAATCATAAAATGATTACTTTTTTTCACTATAAAAGTATAAATTTTTGTATTCCAGAAAAAGTCGTGACAAAAAGCAGTGTTAACATAATCACAAGCAGTGATAACTCAAAGTTTTTTTTTACCTTGGTAACAACACCACACAACGATTCATAAAAAAATACTGTAACCTGTTAGCACTTTATTTTAGTCCATTTGGGAATAAAATATTTTAGTCCAAAAATTATTACAATTTTTTTTTCAAAAATTCAACTGATATAAAAAAGTAAAAACGATATCCTCTCGTTTTCTTTTTGCATTTTTAAAAAAAAATAAGAATTCAAACAATCTTTTCCAAATGAATTAATTTTTTTTCTCATATTTTTATCAAAAATTACTGACAAAATATCACTTCCCAAATGAGTTCTAAGATAACATGAAAAAATAAAGAAGTTGAGTCAGTGTTGACAAAATTCTGACCCATATATGGACCTACATGAGCAGATCTATCCCAACAATCAGGAACCTCTCCCTCTCAGACCGCGGGATTGATTGATTAAATTGATGATGAATGTGATGTGAGTAATCTACCAAATATGCAATGCAATTTAATACATGAATTTGATTAAATCAAGGTCCAAACTTTGTATATTTATATTCAGATCGTTAAATTGAAGGCGATATCATAAATTCATGTTGACACACAAAGGACTAAAGTTCGAATGGCTATAGTAGTGATGGTTACCATCTTTTGTCCATCCCAAAAAAGGGATCAATTTCTTAAAATTAACTTATATCTCCTTCATTATCAAGTATCATTCAGAAAATGGCAAGTTTGCAAATATTTCTTCATCATAATTTGCAAACAGTTCATTTCATTAATCAATTGTGTCTGTTTTTAGGCTCTTCTAATTAATTGATTATTAAACCAAGGTTGTGTGGACAACTATTTGGTGTAGATTAGGTCCTTTTTGTATCGTTGCAATGCTTTTCACTTTACTGGATTTCTTTACGTTATCGGAATAGATAAGTTTTGTAGCATTTTAACTTGATCCGCTGATGAAGTGGTTTGCACATTTTTAATTTTGTTCGGCAAACACAGGAGCTCTGCTAAAATTCATACCAAAATTATTAGTTTTTAACCAATTCATTTGTTTAGTCTCCCAATTTATCCATGCACTAATGTCATCTATCTTCATCATAACATCTAGCTGGGTATTCCTGAGAATTAAAATTCAAGAGTAAACTCCAATAATCAACACAAAATACATACTACATAACACTAGTGAAAGAATATAAAATTATTACAGAAATTGAACTTCAAATCATCACTGAAAAAAATAGTGGGCGTGACAGGAGGCTCTAACCCTCTAACCTCAGAAGGCTAGAGCACCCAGTGTCCATCACACACTAATACTATTACACATAGCCCAATAAGACCTGCATTTAATCTTCATTTCGCAGAAGAGAAATTAACACAAAGGGAGTCTGAGAACAGAACAGCTGAATGAAACCACCTCCTGATACCCAACCTCAGACCTATAATAAGCAGCCCAATATATTCCCCGCCAGCAATGTATCCAATGCTACAACCACCTCAAAACTTGCAGCTATCATGCCTACTGTCATTGTGACCCGAAAGCCTAGCAGTGCCTGCTATCATAAAAACAAACATATATTGTATACTTCAAAACTAGTCAAATAACCTTCAACAACACCAAAAAGAAAGCACAAATCCATAAAGATGAACATAAATAAATAAAGAAAGAAACATACAATCTCTGAATCATGGATGACTCAATGCGCTCAATCTCGTTAATTTCATCCCTGTCATAGGCAACCACAAATTCATACATTCAGCACGAAGTAATCTTTAGGCATTTTATGCTTCTAAGGCCATTTTAAAGCAAAACCCATTTGAATAGACAATCTTAGACATCTTAGGTTCAAATGATTTATCTTCCTCAAATAATTTGTTAAATCAATCTGTGCAGATAGGAGATGAATTAGCTGAAGGTTTGACATGCTGATCACGACATGGTTACCCTTTAGTAACTATGTTGTTCTTGAAAAATCGGTATTTATGCACTATTGATGAAGCTATCACTACAAGAATATTGGGATTTAACGACGTTTATTTAACGACGTTTAAAAAAATGCCTCTTCTTTTAACATTTAACGGCGTTTTTATAAACGTCGTATTTTTTATTTAATAATACGACACCGTTTTATATCAGAAGTCGTTTTAAAAACGCCTCCGAATGTGTTTTTTTATTTTTTATTTTTCTAACATATGAGAAGATAAAGTAGTGTATTCACTCTCTCCGAGTCTCCCTCTTTCTGACTAAACCTTCATCTCTCTCTCTCTCTCTCTTCTCTTCAAACTCCTTCGTAGAACCGCAGCTGAACCCCTTTGTATTTGCAGATCGATTCATGTATTTGCAGATCGATTCAAGTATTATTCACTCTCAGTCTTGCTCTCTCTCCCTTTAAACCCTTGATTTCACTCTCTCTCGCTTCAAACCTCTTCGTTTCAGAGACAACCCTTCATATTTGTAGAATCATAGCTGAACCCCTTCGTATTTGCAGATCGATTCAAGTATTCATAGATCGATTTGTGTAAAAAGATAACCCCTTTAACTTAAAATTTTTAACCATTTACTAACTAGCCTCATTTTTTTTTTTAAATCGATCATTCCTTTCTTATATTATTTGCTAACAGGGGATGCATGTTGCTAGTTAGGTTGGCTGCACAAATCCTGTTTCTTATCAGGGCCCATACTTATTGTTAAATCACACAACACAACATGATGTTCTCTCATTCCCTCACCTGTCTTTTTTAGTCATCCTTTGTCCTTGACAAGCCTTCATACTGGTGCAATTATTGGTCTTCACTGCATATAGCAAAAAACTGTGAATCAACTTTTCTCTTTCTTTGTGTGTGTGTGTATGTACATACATTTATTTTCTGTTATTGATGTCCACTTTTTGAATTTCTTTCTCTCAGATTTTTTCTAGTGCTTGATCTTGTAATCTTTTGGCACAAAACTATTATTTTATACATGGGTAGTAGAAGAAAAGAATTATTTGGAATATGGAAAAGAACATTCATATGGCAATGGTAGAACATTCATAGAATTCCTCTTCATGTGTTCTTTTGCTTTGTAATGATTTTAGGCACTTTGGTTCTAATACCATGGCTTGGGTTCTTTGAAAATGTGTAGTTTGTGTGGTGCTATGGAGATTTGGTTGGAAAGGAATTCTAGAATGTTTGAGAGAAAATCAGATAATGTCAAGGCTTTGTAGGATAGAATTTGTTATTTGGCTTCCCTTTGGGCTTCTTTGCTCCTAGGTCAGTGTCTTCTAATTTCAAGGGCATACCCTTATTTTTTATTAGTAGAGTTTGGACAGCTGTGTGTGATATGTAATTTTCTTTTATTAGTAGAGATTGGACAGCTGTGTGTGATATCTCTCTTTTCCTTCTATTGTAATTAATTTTCCTTTATTGCCAACAAGAGTATCCTGGAAAAATTCTTTAAAGTCTGATATATATATATATATACACTACCCCCATGGAACACCTGTAGAAAGGCCATAAAAATAAGAGGCTTTGCTTATAAGTTATATCGTTTAGGCAGTGGTAAAATTAGTGGTAAGCTAGCAACATTGCCACTGATGAAAACTTGTCAATAATTTTCTTGGTGGAATTCTTACATTTTCCTTTGTAATCTCAGTAAATGGACCTATCAAATGGACCTATCATGAACCGGCAGCCAATCTCGGTTAGAAACATCACCCCTGCAATTGTCAAAGTTGTAAGACTCATAACTTCTTTATTTATTTATTTTTTGCTTGCTGCAAAAAAATAAAGGTGGTTTGCAAACTATACCCAATTGACTGAAGTTTACAACAAATACAAAAAAAAAGCTTACACTACTTGAGGAAAAAAACACAGAATCTGTCTGAATAATTCAACCATTCAACTTTAGCAAATTGACAAGTAGCAAAATGTTTGTCTAGAGAAATTTAGTGAAAAGCATCTCGTTTCAACCACTTCAATTTACAAGAGAGCCCACATGGTAAGCATATTCTTTGCATTACGGAGAAGAGAAGCCGCAACTATTGTATTTAACTCAAATGACATGACTGACGGGAAAGAAAGCAATACTCAGAAGGACCATGGTGAAGCTAATGGAAACCAAAGACAACCTAATGATTGAAATGACTATAATGTTTGTCTCTTATAAATTAGTTGATGTGATTGGATGATAAACCTAATGTAGCAGTAGTCATTGGTTGTTTTGCTACAATGTTTTTAGTATGAAAATTGCTGCTGGACAGCCCATTTGAGTCAGTGAATATGATTTTTTTACCTTAATGAGAGCATCTACCACATCCATGAACCCTCTGCAGCATGCAGTCACAAGAGAATGCACTGCAATATGATTTTTTTTTTTTATTTAGCACCCAAATTTCTTGTGGTTTCCTCTTATGTTGAATCAAATAAATCATAGCATGACACAAATCATCAGGTAAATGGAATACATCTATTTTGATTGTTTAGTCTTTCCGTCATGACTGCATTCAGCAGATCACGTTAGTAACTTAAATTTGTTGGTTTTTATGCAATTTTGACCATTAATTGGAATTTCAATATTTTATTGCTAAAAAATTGTCATCGTGCTCATAAATAGTTAGAGATATTTTGATACATTGTCACTGATTATACCATTGTGTTTGATTTTGTTTTTGTAACCCTTGGTGGTCTTTGACTGAAGGTAAAAATGATGCATACTGAAACCTTGACAGTTGAAGTAAACATTTTGTTGAGTTGATTATAAATTTTTAAAAGGGCTACATCATGCTAAAGGAATAAACTCTCTTTCACCTCAAGACTGGAGTATTTCCAACGGAATTTGCTTTGTTTGTCTCTGGTTATGTTCTACCAATGCAAATTTATCACAGCTAAAGAAGTAGTCAATCATATTGAAATGGATGCACAAGTGTGAAACTAAACCACGAACTTGCAGAATTTTTCATGAATTAGTTCTGATTTCCTTCCATTCAAACCATTAACAGATTAAGTAAATAGTTACAATAATTCTAACATGATATGCGGGATATATACTTGGCAACATGTGGGTTTTGGAAAAAGGAAGCATAAGCAATCAATAGTAACTGCGGGCATAACAAAAAGAGAAAATAAAACTTGTAATTTTTTTTATTTCTTTGTAATTAGGCACAATTTTAAGAGTAAAATTAGAAATGTAATTGACTTATTTGATATTGTCAACAATTTTTTTTTTTTTTTTTTAACGATAAAGTAACAAACGAGGGAATCTATAATAAAAAACTAAACCTTAAGGGAGGTTTCTATTATTTCAAAAATCTTAGGAGAGGTTTCTGCAATTTGATTAAACCTTTTGGGAGGTCACTGTAATTTAAAATTAAACCTCAAGGGAGCTTACTATATTTCATCCAAATCTCAAGAGAGAACATTGTAATTTACCCTAACTATTATTATGAATATCCAACAACTTTTTGTTACTTCAATAATGTCAATTGTTACACAGTGCCAATGGGCACTGGTCACTTTCTGTTTTGATGCATTTCAAATTTGACAATTTATTTAGTACAAGCCTTTCTATAATTTGACAGCAGATCTTTGAAGTACTAGAATGAAGACAAATAATCAGCAACAATGACAGCTAAAAGAAGTTCAGCTAACATGGATTGTTCCACCAATAGCAATAAATGACAGCGAAAGTTGAACTCCTAATCATGTATCATATGGAACATTTCAAAACTAAGCACATTTTTCTCTAGTCTCTACTATAGGAGGTGGCTAATCCATAAGCATTTCATGGTGAATGATTGCAACTCTTAGCTTTAGAATCTTAGTCCAAGTGAGATGAATCAGTCCAATAGTTTATCCAAGGAGAAAAAATTACAAACCTAATTTCAAAATCTTTGATCATATAATATACAGAATTATGTAGAGTTCTAGAAATATGAATCAAATATTTAGTGAAAGGTTTAAAACTTGAAGCAAGAGTGTTTTACATGTTTATGAGTTCATAGCCCACGAGGTTAATCAATCTGTTGCAGACTACACTGCAGGAATTTTCAGGATTAGCAACGTTTAAAAAAAGCCACTATAAGTCTTCAAAACACCATTAAAGGCTAAAGACGACGTTTATAACTTTCCTCGCAGATACGGCCGTGTCTTAGGTATACAACGTTTATAAAACGTTGCTAATGACTTTAACTGGCGTTTTTTAAAACGTCATAAATTTTCATACATTCCATTATGTGAAACCGTCACAGTTAAATGCTGACATCATATGACGACTTTTACTGACGTTTTGAATAAAAACACCATCTTTTCTCCTTAAAAAAATATATTTACTGACGTTTCTAAAAAAAAGGCCATCTTTTCTCCTTTTTTAAAAAATATATATACAGCACTGCTATTTATATAAAAAGAAAAGGTATAATTTCAATTGCACTAAATCTACAAAATAAAGCTTCTAAAAAAAATGCAAAATAAGGATTCAATTTTCAAATTGCACTATTAGCTAAATAAAATCAAATCTGAAAGTCAAGGATTCTATACACAAGCACATAAACTAAAAATAAACCAAACAATTTTAATTCCTCTTCCAAAAGGCTACAATTTCACATTTGACAAACAATAGAAGAAAAATTGAAACATTTCCTACCTGTCTATATCAACCACAAACCATTACCCAAAAAAAATGTCAATAAAAACTATTGAAATATTGGATAACTCATTCATGGGCCAATGCTTATTTCAAGGAACAAGCTGGCCAATGCTCCTACAAAAAAACACTGGAATCAGTAATAAAAAAAATAAAGAAACTAACCCAAAAAAAAAATAATAATAATAATAAGAAAATAAAAAGTTAGCAAACTATAATCATAAATAATAAATGGCTTGTGACCAAAATTCAAAAGTCAACATTAAAATTCTCTATACATAAAATAAAGTGATCCTAAAATCTTTTTCCTTTTCTTTTAATTTCTAACATGTATGCATCTGCAACATGCCATATGTGCAAATGTAAAATATATACAATACTGCACCAACCTTAATACTATTGTCAATTGACGGAGGTGGGCCGTAATTGCAAACCTAATGCATAAAATTTGAAGTAAATAATAGATCAGAACAATTAAAATCCTAATTCACAATGTTCATGAACCACCAAGAAATAATAAAATTGCAACATATAGTAATGAAACATAGCTGAAACAAGATGAATAGGCAACAAGATCTTATTTATTGACCCAGAAAATATACACAAAGTTATTGTGAACTAGATGAAACACAAATTTTGAACCAAGCATGACTTGTGCACAGGCCAATGTATCCAACCAAAGTCACAGTATGATATAAAAATAAATAATAAAAAAAAAAACCTCCAAAATGATATATTGCAATGCAACACAAATTAACAAAATAAGGAAGTAATATTATTTACACCTTTATGTGAAGGAAATAGGGCTATAATAATTAGTAATGCAGTAGAACTTACTAATTGATGACTCAACTAGGCACTGACCCAACTGCTTAAGCCCAGTGAGATAAAACCTCCCTTCTGCATTTAGTTGCTTTGGATCCCGTTTCTGGTAAGTCCTTTGGCAAAAGTCGAAGGTTGAACTTTACCGTTCCACCCGAAACAATCATCTTTTGTGGACCAGACCTCTGTAAAAGTAAAAAAACAGAACACTTAGACTCTGGTTCAGAAAACTTGTTCAGAAATGCTTCAAAAAACTTATTGACAAAATAATGAGGATATAGTAAATAATAAAACAACAAATTCAGCAAATTATCACTACCGATTATGAACAGATATTCCTTGTCGATTTCCCGGCATCATAGTAGATCCAGAGGATGAGGAGGAAAATTGATCAGTTTGAACAGAATGGAACTGGTGTCGAAGCTGTTGTGGTTCATCCCCACCAGCAAGTTGAACAGACTAGCTGCAGTAATAGTAGCTGGCTCAGATTCCCCTCCTACAGATGCCAAATAAGCAGGAGGCAAATTAGGATGAGAGGAAAACACCACGAACTGTGGGCGACCATGAACAGATGACTGACTCCCGGGGCCATCCCTCCGAGCAATGTGGTGGTGGGCCCTTCCCATTGCAGCAGCAGCAGCCAAGTGCTGGATAATACGCTCTTCAAGCTCAGCATCATTTGCACCAACTGGTAACTGTGTCAGAAGAGAAAAAAAAAATAATAATAAAAAATAGTTAAACTAAGCGTTCAAACGTTGATCAACCAAATTATGAATTCCACTTAGTATAGATAGATACCTACATGCTGTAATTCGAAAACCCCAAGGGTAGGATGATGGAATATTGTGGAATTTCTTGAAGTATTAAACCTAAAGCTCCTCTCCCGTTCCACAGCTTCAAGCAATTCCTGACTGCCACAACAAAGAAAATAGGATATTATATAAGAAACTAACAGCAAGAATATACTATAAGAAAGTGATGGCAAATATAAAATTAAAATTACTATAGAGAGAAGCCAGAATGAACCTGGAAGGATCCTTCAGGCTAATGGATTGCCAACACATTTGACAGTTGGAGCTTCTCTGGCACCTATTGTGAGAGAGAGAGAGAGAGAGAGAGAGAGAGAGAGAGAGAGTTAAATTTCATGTTCGTCCATCCTTCTCTAGTTGTTAACATTAGATTTCAAAATTCCAAGCTGGTACACTAAGTGTAACCTCACATGCTAATTAGATCAGTTTATGCTGCCAATGCTGAATGGTTGTTTGGTGGAAAGCTTGAAGAATGGCTTATAATAAACTTTCAAACAATTCTATATCATAATCTAAACAAGATCCTAGATCTTCCAGAGAAACACCATGAAAGCAATTTCACCAAAACCAAAAACCTAGCCTTGGGAGGGGAAAACCTCTCAAACTCAACAAATCAGATAATTTTAAGACTCCATCTATAAACATATTTGGTGTTCTCCTATTTCACATTCAGCAGGTCCATTTGAGTTTTTAATGATATATCAAAACAAATTGAGATAAAGTCCATCCAACCTTACAATAATCGTAATTATATGAGATTGTGCTTGAAAGTGTGGTGGTTTACAGCCTGAACTAGTTTTGCTTGTAACATTCGTAAATTTTAGATTGCTCAACATTCCATCTTCAAAGTGTTGGCCTAAATTTCTCTGTCTATGTCAAAGTAAAAATTCAGATACCACCTGAAATTTCAGAATAAGAATGACTGAATTTCCTTCAATCAAAGTAAAAATTCAGATACCACTTTAAATTTCTTTGTCTATGACTTGATACAAGTCCATCCTCTGCTGCATCAGTTAGGAATTGAGCATCATTACTCAAAATAAACCAGAGGTCTTTTGCCAAAACACATCAGGAAGTGGAACCAAAACCATAAGGACAATAATATGCAAAGAGTCACAAGATCATTGGACAAAATAAACTATGATTGATAAAAATAGATATAGGAGAACCTTACCTCGCCTTCATAAACTTCCTTGTTTTCCTTGATGCGTAGACCAATTGCACGACGAAAATTTTCCCTTAAAACCTCAGTTTTCTTCACTTCTGAAGAATGCACTTCTGATCCAACCATTGGGCAAAATGGAACCTACAAGTCATAAGAAATGGGGAAAAAAAGTAATCGCTCAATGACTCTGCCAAGGATCAAAACATTAGGGCTGTTCTTGGATAAAGGATTTGAGGAGTGCTTTGGGGAGAGAATGGGAAAAGAAAGAAATAGAAGCTTCTTTTTTTTCCTCTTTGGTGTGCACACTTGTTAGCAAGACATATTGAAGTTAGGAACTTGGGATATAGGTTAAGTTATCTGGAATGAAGTGGAACTAATGCTTGCAGTTATAAAGCAGATTCACAGAGATCGGTTACATGAACAAAAACAAACAACACCAGATTTACAAATTAATATAACTGTATGTCCCCCAAGTTCCACAACCAACAGAACACCTCAATCACAACCATTACAAAACTCTCACACATGTACAATAAGTCAAATTCAAAGAAACACTCTACATCTGTCTCTTACTCTTTTTCTTACAACTAATAGAAGCTCAAAGAAAACCTAAAAAATAACCAGCAATATGAGTATGATTTTCATCCACCTAATTTGACCACTCTAAGCTAAAAAGAACTATAAAGCAATAAACTCATACCACTTATATAGAGTAACATTCCTTGAATTCTTCTTATTTCCAACATCTTTTTATATGATCAAAAAACAATCAGTCCAAACCCAGTTCATCCAACAGACTATCATGATTTCTCTAATTCGAAACCCATTTTGGAATTTCATCAAACAGTTTATCCGCACACTCTTACCATAGCCAAATTCATGTAACAATTATAAAGCTATATATATATATATGTAGAGAGAGGGAGGGAGGGAGAAGCGAGGGTAAAAGAGAAAAGGGGGCTGATGGTGGTTATTGACGGTGGAGGAGGAATCTGTATTAAACGCAATGGCGGTGGGTGGGTCGATTTGGGGCTGGTTTTGTGTGAAGGTATGAGAATGGAAGAAGACAGAGAGAGGGTGAAATAGAGAAAACATACCCGGGGTAATGCTCCAATGGTGGATCGACGGTGATGATCTTATCGGGAGTCAAGACTGCGACAACCGCCGTTGATCCAACTGTGTTGCACTCCGGCGTTTAGAGCTCGCACCGACAATCGGCGCGCAGAACGCTGTCGTTCCATGCAATCACCTCATTGTCCATGCGATTGAAGCTTCTCTCCATCACGATCTTCCACTCCTCCGTACTCGAATCCTTCTTCTCTATCTCTTCCTTTACAAGTTCATGAAACCGATCTCTACACTTGTTAATGAAACAAAAAATAAAAATAAAAAATAAAAACAATAAACAATAAACAATAAACAATAAACAAGCACTTACAGCTGGATTTTTGGAATATGTGCTATCTTATACCAATCCTCCCCCTTTTCCTTTTGACATCGCCTTACCAATTCAGAACTGCATGCATGAATGCTCAAAGTTTGGAGGTTGGTTAGCCTTTGAAAGCCATGTGGAAGTGATGGAATCTTGGGACAGTAACTGATGTACAACGATTGAAGTGACGTAAGGTTTCCCAACCATTCAGGCAGTGATGTGAGCTCTGTATACATAGAAATAGATAGAGATTGAAGTGCAGGGACATGTTTCAATGCTTTAGGCAAAGTCTTCAACTCACTACCACGAATATGTAGGTGTCGAAGAGAAACAAGATGTTTAATGCTGTCCGGCAAAGTCACGAGCTTGGGACAGTTCTCAACATACAATTTCTCCAAGGCAGGGAGGTGTCCCAAACTCTCAGATAAAGAACTCAAATTATTGCAGAAGTCAATCTTCAGACGTTGGAGAGACTTTAGGCTTCGTAGCCCATGATCTGGCAAAGACTCAATCTCATCACACCACCAGATTCTCAATGACTTCAAAGAGACAAGGCTTTCCAAGTTTGTAGGTAGCACTTTAAGGTTGCTAAACCTTTCAATTTCTAGAGATTCAAGAACAGTTACATGATGAAAGACACGGCAAGGTCAACTGAAAGGGTAGTGAGATTCTTAAGATTTGAGATTGAACTTAGAACCACGTCGGAACTCCAGACATCCAAGTGTTTTGGTGATGAAAGACACGGCAAGGTCAATTTTGGGCAATCGCGGATGTATATCTGCTGAAGACAAGGGAGTAGCTCTCTTCCTTCCTCCCTTGACAACCCTACCAAATTCGGCAACTTAGAAATACGGAGTACTTCCAAAGCCGGAAATCCTCTAACTGGGCTTCCGCCAGGGAAGTAATTGTCAATGTACTCCACATAATCCATTTCGGAAATCTGAAGCCGTCGCAGGAAAGGCAACTGTCCAAATGCTGGAAGTTCTAAACAGTTTCTGCAGCTATGTAGCTCAATAGAAACTATGTTTTTAAGAATTGAATCCCTCATCCAAAGTGGGAAGTGGGCACCTCTGTAATTGTCTATGAACAACTCTTCAACATTTGGGTGAGGTTCCAGGGATTCAAGTAGTTGTTCAACATTTGCTTGTGATTCTGATTCACTGTTATGTCCCCATGATAACTTCAATACTCGGAGGTTCTGTTTTCCGACCAAATTGGCTTCTTTGGCATCCGTTGAGTTTCCCACTCTCTCAAGGTGACGGATACACAGTTCTCCTCCAAGATGTAAGCATTGCAATTCAACTACCTGATGACCTCTACTCTTACCCACGACAAATAAGCTTAATGTCCTCAGGAGAGTTAAATGCCCAAGCTTTGGAGGCATGTCCTGTATTTTGTAGCAATCTTTCAAAAAAAGATGTCGGAGGCTTCTTAGGGATTTCATGTTCTTGGGCAGCCTCTGAAGCTTATAACACTCATTCAGGTTTAATGTCTGCAAATTGTGAAGGCTACAAATTGACTTTGGTAGCGTACGAATGAGAGTTTCAGAAAGGTTCAAGTACCCTAAATGTTTTAACTTACCAATTGAAGATGACAACTGCCGCATATTGGTGTGAAATGCATCGAACACTCGTAACGAACCAAAATTTGTGAAGTCACAAGAAAAAGGAAAAAAACCACGAGAGCTAGTTTTTGGCTGTCTATATTGTAGAAGAATTGTATGTAAGGATTCAACTCTATATAATGCTTTAGGAAAGCCACCTACGCGGACAAAGTTAGCAACCAGTGTAACATGATGAATTCTTTGCGCTGATACATTCTTTGAGCTTTCAGCCTCCATCGTATGACATTCATCTTCCATAACGGATTGGGCAAGATCGTGCATAAGATCATGAATTTTGAAAATAATGTTGCCAGATGGATCTTTGTCCACGTCTTGGAAAAAAGATCTCCAATATAACTCATTCCATATACCATTACCAACATCTTCTAACTCCGATTTTCCGTTGGATGAAATAAAGCCATTAGCCATCCAAAGATGAATAAGTTTTTCCTTCTCAATTTTAGAACCTTTCAGAAAAATGGCACAGTAAGCAAAACACCGTCTCAATTCCAACGGAAGGTTATAGTAACTTAATCTCAAGAGAGGCAAGATGGAATTTTTGTCTTGGGGTAAGTTCCAAATTTCACTTTCTTTAACAAAATGCCAATCTGTTTCCTCACTTTTGAAGCGCATTAGCCCTCCAAGGGCCTTTGCAGCTAAAGGCACACCCCCACACTTCTTCACTATCTCCTTCCCAATGGCCACAAGGTTTGGATGCTCTTCATTCCCGTGTCCAAATGCCCGTTGTTTGAACAACAACCAGCAATCTTCTTCAGTTAAAAATGACAAGTGATGTGCTGGAACAGTTCCCATGATTGATGCTACCTTTGCAACACGAGTAGTAACGATAATGGAAGCACCTTTTGATCCACATGCTAGAAAATACTTTAGCTGATCCCAGTTGTCTCGATCTTCATCCCACACATCATCTAATACAAGCAAATATCTTTTTCCATTTAGCATCTCTCGAAGCTTGTTCTGCAAAGAATCTAGGTTTGAGGCTTCACAGGTTCCCTTAGATACGGATTCGATTATTGCTTTTATCACCCTTTTCACATCAAAATCCTGAGAAACATAAACCCAAATTTTAGGCTCAAAGTGGCACTCTACCCTCTCATCGTTGAAGACCATTTGGGCAAGCGTGGTCTTTCCTAGCCCCCCCATGCCAATTATAGGGTAGACAGAAACATCCTGGCAATCACTTATATTCTCAATCAACATTTTGACAATTTTTTCTTTATCTTCTTCTCTTCCATACAGTTGTGGTTGAGTTAGAGCAGAGCTGGTTTCACGTCTGTCAGCCAATTCAACTCGCTTCTCCACAACCACCTCACGTAAATGAAACTTCATCCGCTCTTCAGCAATTGCATTTAAGTTCTCTAAGGTATCTTTCATCCTATTCCCTATCTTGTGACGGAACAGAATGTTCTCAACGGGATAAGTCAATAAGGAAGTGCTTATTACCTTCTTTAGAGAACTAGAACTCAGCCTTTTTGATTCGTATTGGAGGGCTTCGGTTTTGCAGTCATCCAAGATGTCTTCTACTTCATGGGCTGCATCATTGAGTTTTCTCAACCAATTTTGTATTGCTTTGTCTTGGAATTGTTTTTGTTCTGCATCTTCCAGGACAGCCTGGATGGTGGTGAGAGTGCTTGAAAGCTTTTTCATCTCCTTGTCAACACCCCAAAGCAAGCCCACCTCCTTTTGGATCAAGGAGTTGAGATTCTGAAGCACAAATGGTAGAAACGATGCCATGTTGACTTGATATCTGGATTCAATTCAAGGAAAGCTCTCAAAATTGCAAATAGTGTTTTGCCAAGAACTAAATGACCCAAGTTGAGATGTATATCAGAATAAAGGTTTCATAACAATTGTGCAAAGACAAATGAGGGAAGACTTTGGAAAATGACTCATTACCTACCGTTGAATTAAAATAGTTGGTTAGTGTGCGCACTCTCTGACACGATGTCTAATCTTTCACTAATTTTTTATTTAATTTGATTTTAAATTTGAATAATATGTAGAAATTAAACAATAAATATATTATGGTTTGGGATGTTCTAAAAAAGTATACTTTTTGACTTATTGGCTTATATGGGTTGGGTTTGATGTGATGTGTTAGAGAGGTGATGTGATTTAAATAAGATGATGTGACTTAAATAGGATAGTGACTTTTTGACTTTTTTGTATTATTTAGTATACCCCAAACCAAGCCGTATAGATTATTTATATCAAATCAAACTAAATCAAATCTTAACTCTTATTAAATCGGGTCAGCTATATATAAATTATTTATGAGGGATAAAAAAATAAAAGAAAAATTGTACTAGAGTATTTTAGTTAAGATTAATAAAATGTTTGATTATGTTTCATGTGGTGATATTTAAATTTAATTATGTATCACATATGCTTTTTTGGTTGACTATAGACACCCCATTTTGACCGGCCTAAAGATTTGGGTGTTTTCTTCCGAACACCCGATGATGAAAATTGAAATTATTTTATGAATTTCTCAGTAGAAAAATTAGGTTTAAGCTTTAATTTCAATATTACACCCATTTTGGCCAAATTATTTTAGACTTATTCAAAACCTTTTTTCAAATTTTTTCTTATTCAAAAAATTTAGCAATTTTGAAAAAATTGACTCCCATACCGCATGACTAGCCACATGTTTTTGAAAACACATGGCAAGCCACATGGTTTTGAGATACCACATGGCAACTCATATATTTTTAAAAATACCACATAGCTAGCCATGTGTTTTCGGTGATTTTCAATTCTATAAACATCCCTCATTTTGTTGTTTGGAGAGAGGGAGAAAATTTTAGAAAACAAAATTTTGTTTCAAAAGTCTTGGGGAGAGAAAAATTTTGGAAAATAAAATTTAGCTTCAAAAGGAAAAAAGGAGAAAATTTTGTTTCTAAAGGAAAAAGAGAGAAAATTTGAAAAAAAGAATTTTGTTTCAAAAGAATTTTTGTTTCAAAATATCTTGAGGGTGAGATTGATTTTCAAAAATCTTGAGTTATTTTGAGAGTAAGAGAGCCTTTTCAACCAAAGCTTTCAATCAACCTTTCCGTCCATTGATATATACCACCCAAAATTTTATTAAATCTTAAACTTGAAACTTCTCAATGAGATTTCAAAGCATACTCCATAACCGTGAGGGTATTATGAAGAGAGTTTGGTAATCAAAAAATTCATCTTTTTCTCCAAATGTGAGTTTTTGCAATTTTCTCATTTATTTTATTTCTATTTCTCTTTTCTTTAAATATGTGATATAGTTTATTAGAAATGGTTGGCTGAGCCACCTAATATAGTTTCTTTATTTTGAATTTTGTTTCTTATTTTAAATATGTGATATAGCTTGTTAGAAATGATTAGTTGAGCCACCTGATGTAGTTTCTTTATTATGAGTTTTGTTTCTTATTTTAAATATGTGATTTAGCTTGTTAAAAATGGTTGGCTAAGCCACCAGATGTAGTCTCTTTATTTTAAATTTTGTTTCTTATTTTACATATTTGATTTAGCTTATTAGAAATGGTTAGCTGAGCCACCTATCCTTAGATATTGTAAATAAATTGTTTCTATGTTTTGTCAGATTTAGCTTGTTGTAATAATGTTCATTCTCTACTTTTTTTCTATCCTTTTTATTTACTCACTTTCTATAGCTGTAAATAATATCATATTTTCTTTTTCATTATACTCATGCTTTGCATCCATACTTTATGCATTTAAATTCGGCTCATTTGCATCTGTGGGTTTAATCAATTTCTATGTGATTTTATGTACTACCCTATGTGTTGAAATGATTCACATGTCACGAATTAGTAGCTGGATTTTTAATTGCATTTTTGTATATGTATTGCATTAGAATTTTGTATCTAGGATCATGCATATTTCCCTAACTCTTTTTTGCAGCTTTCCGCAGGAGGCCAGTAAATACTATGTAAGTGTTTATACTTTAGCATCCCTCTTGTGAGTATTTTTCTTACTATGTCTAAGCATCCTACCATGCGACTACCTGTTTAAGTGATATATCTCTATGAATGCCAGTGGATGGAGGTTGTGTTGTTCAATTTGGAATAATATCAATTTTCATGTTTGTGAACTCATTTTCTTTTGAGTTGTACATTATTCAAAACTTTTTCAAAAATACATGAAATCAAATGTTCCAAAATGAATGACGCAATCTACACTTGATTGTTTCATATAATAATTTTAGCATGTATTAAATAATTGAAATATGAACATACAAAGTCAATAAAATTCATATCATGATTTAGTAGAGGTTGATTTTTTGATCGGATGAGTGATGGTGCTCAATTAATGGCCTTCCCCCCTCATACCTAAGGTTCCAAACCAAGACATCTTTGGTTATTGTAGACACCCCATTTTGACCGGCCCTAAGACTTGAGCGCTTTCTTTTGATTACCCGATGATGACAATCAAAATGTGTTTCTCACAGAATCCTCAATAAGAAAACTTAGAATTTGAGCCTTGTTTCCAAACCTAAACAGCCACAAATTACCTTTCCAAAGGAATATTTTGACCTCACGATTGCGTCCAGAATGGTTCGTTTAGCCAGAATCAACTTTCGCCGCACTTCTAGGGGCCTCACTAAAAAATTCTCTCAAAACTTGGCTTACAACACAATTATTTGAAACTTCTAGGCCATATTGTAATTTTCAAAACTTAGGGAATATTCTTTTATGTGAGGAAATATTCTGTTAAGTTAGGAAATATTCCGTCCATATATAGAATATTCCATCAATGCTAACTGCAACGCTGACATGGCAGTCCTGCTGACGTGGCATGATTGAATTGGTCCTTGCTGATGATGTGGCGCTGACGTGTCTTTACCCAAAATGAATTTGAGGAATGCTTAGAAGGGGGTTTGAACTCCTAACCTAGGACTCCACATACAAAACCTTAACCATTTTGCCAAAGCATCACATTGTGTCATATTTCTCCCCAAATAATATTTGACTGCTTCATAATCACACCCTACCATCCTCACTCATCATCCACTTTCATAATTACACCTCACCATCTCCACTCATCATCCACTTTCATAATTACACCCCACCATCCCCACTCACCATCCATTTTCATAATTACACCCCACAATCCCCACTCACCATCTACTTTCATAATCACATCACACTATCTCCATTCACCATCTACTTTCATAATCACATCCCACCATCTTAACTCATCATCTACTTTCATAATCACACACAACCATCACCATTCATCATTCACCTTCATTATACATTACCCCCTATTAACTCCATTATCTTCCAAAAAAAAATGCTCCACTGTCTTCCACTTTATCCTCCACTTTGTCTTCCACCATTGCCCACTTACATTGGCTATATAATGAGACCTCTAGTCTTGAATTTGGGAAGGAATTTTGAAGAAGAGAAGTATAGGGAGAGAATGCGATTAAATTTTCTTCTCTCTCTTACATCAACTTCTTAAGGGAGTTCGCAACCCTAACCCTTCAACGATCTTCGATGTCTGCGGTCGATTAAAGCTCACAACGACGTCGTGAATGCTGTCGCGGCGGCGAATGATGACACGATTTACACCATCTCCAGTGTGAGAGAGAAATGCAGAGTACTATCTCAACGATTTATGCCACGTTGTCACGTTAATACTTGTTACATTAAAGTGTTACATTATATCTGTCATATTGATAAAATCGTATAATCTTTGACCAAAATCTGTATATATATTATATAAAGAAAAAAGAATTGTTAACCCAAATCTTGTAATATTTCAATCTTAATTTTCTAATTTTTTGATTTAAAAAAATAAAAAATCTCAACATTTATTAATTTCTTCTAACCCCCAAGCCTTTTGGGAGATGTGGTCAAAATTCCATCATAATAAAAGTTTAATGTATTAAGGATGAGTATAAAAAAAATTCTTGAAAAGTGTAACACATGATTATTATTAAAATATTAAACTTTCATATAATATAATTTTTGATGTAAATATCAGTTTGTAATAAAATTATTATTTTTAGAATTCTCTTATCAAGATCTATCAAATAAGATCCATATTGACTATAAATTCTTTAAAAAAATATACATTACTGTTAAATTGATGTAAACAGTAAAGTGTACTGCTTGACATTAATATGTTATTATGTCTCACAATAACATGTTATTTTGTCCAATAGTAACATGTTACTGTTGTTTACAATAATATGTTACTTTGACAATATTGTCAAAAAAAAAAAAGAAGATATTTTACTTTGTTGTTGCTCAATTATGTGTTTTCTCCTTAAGAGGTTTATGAAGCAAAATAAATTGAGTTGTCATTTTCACTAAATAAGGGTCCAAGGGAGGGGTTTTGGCTAAATTTTTCAAGCCTTTTTGACTTCTTCCATACTTTATTTTTTATTTTTCTTAAAGTAGTTATAGTTTTGGGCAATTATTTACTCTCTTTTTTTCTCCCTATATATTGTAATTTTGTGCATTTTAAGTGTATGATGTTTTCATTAATACATTCGGAGATGCACTATGAAAGAAGTATTATGCGGAAATCAAGTAAGAATAAAAAAATAAATAAAATAATACAATGAATGTGAAGCAAAGATCAGAGATCAAAACTCCCAAAGCAAGCAAGTAAATCAAGTAGAATAAAATGTTTAACAATAGACATTTGAAAATTTGCAACAAAATTTTATAACTTTTTTTTTTTTGCTAAGAAAATTCTATTTGGTACTAGCTAAATAAAATGCTTTTAAAATATTTTTCTTTTAATTTAAAATTAAAACTATAGTAAATTTATGTAAGTATAATTGCTAATCATATTGTTTTACTTAATGCATAATATTATATTGACTAGATTTTTCAGGTTTATTTTTTAAAGTATTTATAT